CACCCACGGAGCTGATTCAGCCGCCTGCTCCTCCTGCCCCGCAGTGTTCACCGTGTTCTCCTTCACCTCCGTCATCGACCTCGTCATCGCGCTGGAGCAGGACGGCTACATCCAGGGCTACATGGACTTCTACCTGAAGGAGGTGCCAACCCCCAGACCTCCCAGCCGGGCACCGCCCTGTCCCAGTCCTCTGCCCTCCTGCACCCTGCTCCGAGCAGGATTCGCACCAGATGCTGCAAGCCCCCCTGCCCCCCCTCCAGATGTGTCTCCCAGGCGCCTCCATCCCCTGCTTCATCCTGGGGCGTGGATTTAAAATGTGGATGTGGCTGCAGCTCCTTCCCCTAAATGGCCTGGCGCTCCCAGCACTTCACAGGGTGGGCAGGGGCGTGCAAGCAGCCCGGGGGCCCGGGGCCTGGGCACTGAGCAGAGCCACGGCATCTCCGGTGCCCTTGGAGCGCCCATGCGGCCTCCTGGCTGCGTCGTGCCTGGGGCGGGGGTGACGCAGTGCCTCTCCCATCGCCAGGGTGAGCCGTACCTACGCACCGCCTACGGCATCATGATCTGCTACTGGGACGGCATCATCCACTACCTGCTCTACCTCGCCATGGTTGCAGCCATTGACCAAAGGTAGGGGCCGGGGAGGGCAGACCCGCAGAGGAGGAGGTGCCTTCAGGGCATCAGGTAGCATCCCAAGGGTGATCTGACTTGCTCTGGGGTAAGAGTGGAGCACACAGGACACAGAGCCTTATCCTGCGATAAGTCAGCCCCCAGCACACCTAGGGTAGCTTTCCTTTGGGGCAAGTTCATGTATCCGCAGCCCCAAGGGCCAGAGTACCTCGCTGGTACCTGCTCCTGCCACCTGGGCATTGCAGTCATCGCAACCCCGGGTTGCTGCTCTGGGGTAAGCCGGCATGTGTCCGCTCTGGATCCCGGGGCAGTCAGGATCAGGGCACAAATCCGCGGCGAGTGGCACCAGCGTAAGCGCTGGGGGCCCCTATCCTGGAGCGGGTGTGTGAGGGGAGGCTGCTCTTCACCCTGGCACCGGGGTGGGAGCATCTTGGGGATGTGGCAGGAGCCCAGCGGCAGGGGCCAGTGGGGGCAGGGTGGGAGGGTTTGAGCCCTGGGAAGGCGTCTCATCTTCTCTGTCTCCCCAGAAAGAGCTACCGGAGCCTGGGTCTCTACTGGCTGGGCTCCATCGTGATGAGCATCATCGTCTTCTTGCCGGGGACCCTGATAGGTAAGGGCCGCCTGCCTATGATCCCCAGCCCCGTCGGACCTGTCCAGGTCGCCCTTGGGCAGCCACGTCCATGCCAGCAATGGCACCAACGGGCCTGCGTCTTGGGGGCCAGCAGAGGCCCCAGGGCCAAGGCCCTTGTTCCAGCTGCCGGAGATGCAGGAGACGCGCCCCTGGATGCCTGCCCTGCGGCTCCCGCTCTGCCGGTCTCTGGGGCCGGGGGCTCCAGGCACAACCCGGGCTTCTCTCATCCCGCAGGGAAGTACAGCTCGGAGATCCAACCTGCCTTCCTGCTCAATGTGCCCTACCTCCTGCTCCCCATCTGGGCAGGGCAGAGGCTCTTCCAGCAGCCCAAGCCCCTGCCCTGCTCCACAGCTGACAAGGTAAGTGCTGCGGGAGGCTGTCTGCACCCCGAGGTGTGGGCCCCATCCTGCCCCATCACCACATCCTCCGCCTGGCTGCTGAGAGCTGGGGCTGAGCTGCCCCAGCCAGCGCCGGGGCCGAGCCGAGCCCTGCCGGGGCTGGTGCAGGGAGGAGAAGCCAAGCAAAGGGTGGCCCTTGCAAGCTCCCCTCGATGGGCCGGCACCTGGCGGCTGCACTCCCAGCAACTCCTCTCACCCAGGTGGCAGAAGAGCAGCGCAAAGGCCTGCACCAGCGGCCCTTGGACCTGGGCCTGATCCTGTTCCTGCTCGTGGCTGGAGCCTTCACACTCTTCAGAGGGCTGGTAGGGATGGTGTGAGCTGGGCCGGGGTGGGAGCTGGCCGGGCTGGGCATGGGGGCACCGGGGAAGGGGCTGTGGCGGGCAGTGCAGGGTGTCACTGTCATGGGGCCCGGCTGAGCTGGCAGCCCCGTGCCCTCTGCCTCGTGCCCCAGGTGGTGCTGGACTGCCCGACCGAGTCGTGCTTCAACTACGTGTACCAGTACGAGCCGTGCCTGCGGGACCCCGTCACCTACCCCAAAGTGCAGGTGAGCACAGGGCTCGCAGCCACCGGGGGGGTCTCCGCCGGGCACTCCCTGTCCTGAGCACCAGGCGGATGAGGGGGTGTTCTGCCTCGGCTTGGCCCGCTGGCTAACGAGCTCGGTTGCAAAGGCAGCTGCTTGTCAGGCCTCCAGTGCGGGAGGCACAGGGAAGCCAGGTCCTGTCAGCTGCATGCTGTGCCCCCTCAGTGAGGGCTGCCGAGGCAGGCGTCAGGGGAACCAGGGAGGGAGGGGGCCTTGGTAACGAGATGCTTGGCGGCAATGATTGGGATGCAAACGCAGCTGCTCTTGGCTCTGACCTTGAACTGTCCCCGTCCAAGCAGAGGCTCGGTGCCAGGCAGCAGTGCAGGGAGCTGCTGGCACGGGCGCATGGCCCCGCTGCGCTGAGCTCCCTGCTGCTGCCTCTGCAGGGAAGGACCCACCTGTCCCCCGTCCCTCCGCCCTGCACCCCTGGCAGCCGGCCGGGGAGGCACCCCTGGCGCTGTGGCCTGTGCCCTGGGGGAGCGGGGCAGAGGAGTTTAAACACCCCTGTAGCCTGGGGGTTGGCCGTAACCTGGGTCCTGGCAGAGCCGCAGTGGGTCGCTCCCCCGTCCAAGGCACGTTGGACCCCCGGCTGGTCCGGGCCCATCCTCTGTAGCCCTGGGCACATCCTGCTCGGCACTGCTGACTCTCACCGTGCTCCCAGATGCTGGTCTACACCTTCTACTTCCTCCCGTACTTCGGGCTGTGCATCTACGGGCTGGTGTGGCCCGGCTGCACCTGGATGCCGGACTGGGCCCTGGTGTTCGCGGGCGCCATCGCGCAGGTACCGGGGAGTGGGCCAGGCAGGGGTTTGCCTCGCGGGGTGGCACGGGGCTGGCACGTCCCTTGCTGGTGCCTGAGGGCCGTGCTCCGGACCGAGGCGCGTCCAGCCCCGGTCTCCGCGGATCCCCATCCCGGAGTTAGCGCGTGGATCCGTGTCCTTGGCAACGAGCTGAGCTTGATGGAAAGAGTCTCCGGCCAGGGTCCACAGAGCCGTGGCCAGGCGAGGGCGAGGTGCAGCCCCCTGGGTCCAGCCGCGGCCATAGCTGCATCCCGCGGGGGCCATGAATGCCCCGTCCTGCCCGGGCGTGTGCAGGGCAGCCCCCTGACCCGGCGGGGTCCTCGGGGCAGGTGGGTGGGGGTGGAAAAGTGAGGGGCAGGGGGACAGCACCGTCTCCCTTCTCGCAGGCCCAGTTCTCGCATGTCGGTGCCTCCCTGCACCAGCGCACGCCGTACCCGTACCGCACGCCCGAGGAGGCCTGGTGGAGCGTCCTCCTCGCCAACAGCCTGTACGCGCTGGGGCCGCACCTCCTGGCCTACCGCTGCCTCCGCAGCCCCGGCTTCTTCCAGCCGTCCGTGTCCAACCCCCCGCCCATGGACAAGAAGCGCCAGTGAGGAGGGACCCGGTCCCAGCCCCTGCAGCGAGAAGCTCCAGCGCAGCCCAGACCGGGCAGCCCGCATGCTGTGCAGGGCCTGGTTTGGTGGAGGGGGGCCAGGTTGCGACGGGGGGGGGCGTGGAAGGTTTTCCTTCTACCCCCCCAGAGCTGGGTCTCGCCCCATCTGCTCTCGCCCCCTTTGCCCCTGCCCCTTGCCTGGCCGAGGCCCTTGCCAGCATTCGCCACGACGGTGCTGCCAACACTCCCAGCTCCCCTGCAGGAGGGACCAGCCCCCGGACTGGCACAGCCCCTCTGCACGGCTGCAATGGGGCTGTGACTCCAGGGTCTCCGCAGGGTCGGGCTCTGGGGGTCCCCCATGGGCTTCCCGCTCGGATGCAGGCAGAAGTCCTGGGCCCTGGGCATGCTGGGGGGGTTGGATCCGCAGCTCCTAGTGCAGCTCGGCCTCGGAGACCTGGCTCCTGCCAGCCTGGCCGCAGCTGCGTCCCCAGCTCTGCAGAGACTGCCCGTCGCAGGAGTTGCTGGTCCATCCCGGCTGTTGGCAAAGGCCTGGGGGGCGGGGGGAGGGCTTGTTCCCTGCACTGGGGACCCTACCAAAAGAAACTGTTTACAAATAAAACTGCTTTAATGCCGCTGTGGCTGGATTGTTGCACAGGGGCATGGGAGGGGGTGGGGTCTGGCAGACGGAGCCTGGCCAGCCCTCGGGGGAAGTGTGCGAGCTCATGTGCACGTGCTCATGTATGTACACACGTGTGCATGTGCCAGCGCATGTGAGAGGACAAGGACCTGCGTGCCTGGCAGGGCTCTGGGTGCCTGCGCATGTGCAAATGAATTTCCCTTGAACGTCCTTATTGAAGCAGGGAGGCAGGGGTGCAGAGCACCAGGGACTGGGGCCTTGAGGCCTGTGGTGGGAGGCAGAGGAGGCGAGCGTGCCCGTCAGCTGGCGGGGGCAGGAGGCCAGAGAGCTGCCCACGCCAGCCCCAGAGCAGCCGCGGCTGCAGAGCAGCTGGCCGGAGCCCAGCCGGCCAGAGCAGGCAAGTCCTCCCAGTCCCATCACCACTGGCTGCCACCGCCAGGCAAGACCCTCGCAGCCCTGCAGCTGATCCCAGGAGTCCCGACTCCCGCCCCTATCCAGACCAGGCATCCTGCCCCGGCCTGTGGCACTGCCCACTAGGCCTGCCCCCCTGCAATGCAGCCCTGCCCTTCCCCTGCCAAGGCTGCAGCTGTTGCAGCAGCTCAGAGGCTCCCAGGCTGCACTCAGTGCAGGGCAGTGCCTGGGCCCCAGTCCCAGCCACGGGAAGGGCTGGGAGAGGCCAGGGCAGCCCCAGCCCCTGCCTGAGGGGTGCCAGCTCAGACCTGGACCCACCCTCAAGGGGACCCTGCTGCCCCCTGGTGGTTGCCCCTGGGACTGCGCCCATGATGCTCCAGCATTAGCAGCGTGGGGGTAGATGTGGGCCCACCGGCTGGCAGGGGATGCTCTAGTGCTGCCTGGTCTATGCAGGGGGGCCCTGGGGAAGGCAGACCCAGAGTCCCAGTGCTGCTGGGGTCAGGAGACAGGGACTCAGTGCCCCCTCTGCCACCGACTCTCCGTGTGCCCTTGGGTGCATCCCAGCATCTCTCCACCCCCGGTCCCCGCTGCGGGGAGGGAGAACGGTCCCCCTGCTCCGCCGGCCTGTGCCAGCTGTGAGCTCTCGGGGGCAGGACCTGGCTGCCCCCATGTCAGCCCCCAGGCCCTGTCGCACAAGCACCCCGGGGACATGACGGCATCCTCCACCCCATGGGCAGAGCAGCCGGCACTGCCAGCATCCCTCAGAGCCCCGGAGCCAGGCTCGCACGCCTGCCTGTTCTCCTTTAAAATCGCCTGCCCCCCCCCATCCCTCCCACACTCCCTCCTCCCGCTCGGCTCTCGCAGCCCATCCTCATCCTCGAGCAGTGACTGCCCAGGCACCGAAGTCTGGGCGCCACGTCCCGCCTCGTCCTGCGGCGCAACTTTCCCTCCGGAGCTGGGCTCCCTGCCCCCAACTCTGCTGACTCGGGCGAAGGAGGCAGAGGTAGGTCCCTGCTCCCAGCCTGCTGGGCCAGGCACCCGGAGTGAGGCAGCGGGCAGGGCCAAGACAGCACCTAACCCCGTGCACGCCTCGCACCCCGCCGTGCCAGCCGAGGGCTTGTGCCAGCCTTGCCCTGCACCCGCCGGCCCCGGCCAGGCCCGCGGAGGAACGGTGAGTGAGCAGGCGGCTGCGCTGCAGTGTTCTTGCTCTCCGTACTGTAACCTTGGAAATGCAGCTCCTGCTCTGTGCTGCAATGTAGCGCTGCACGCGCTGCCGGCAGGCCGGCCCCGAGCAGCCCTTGCCCAGGGCCGCGTGCGGAGGGGGGCTGCAGCACGGGGTGTGGGGCTGAGCGCCGGGTGGGGGTAGGGGGTGAAGTTACTTTTTCTTCCCATCCCTCAGCTCTGGAGCTGGAGACGGCCCCTGGGCAGAGAGCGGAGGGAGGGGGCTGGGGCTGCTGGGGACCCTGAGATGTCCTCACTCCTGGGGCCGGGGGGGGGGGAGGGCAGGAAAGGCCCCCAGCAGCCTGGGCCGGGGTCTGGGGAGGGGAGCGGGGCTGGTCCTGCGTGCTCCTGCTCTGCCCTCCCCTCGCAGGCTCCAGCCACACGACAGGGACTGCGTGCACTAGAGGAGCCCCGGGGCAAGTGCTCTGGATCCGGCCCGGCGCTGCGGCGCCCTGTGCTCCCAGCAGCGCATCCTGCACTGACCTCCCTGCATGACCAGGCAGGGGCAGGGGCAGGAGCTGCACGAGCCACTCCTGCCTCCCCTTGCAAAGACCTCGGCCTCTGCAGCCCCCCAGCCCGGCCGAAGCTGTGCCAAGACCCGCTGTGCTCGCTGCATGGGGCACGGGCGCAGGCCCCACCAGCTGGAGCCGCGCAGGGGCAGGGAAGATGCTGGCCCCCCATGGCATCTCTCCAGGCCAGGGCAGGCTGGCGCCCAGGTCCCTTGCTGCCCTGGGCTGTCTAGCCACGGGGCAGAGACCTGGCAGGGAAGCAGCAGCCTAGCAGGGCCGGAGGCTCAAAGGCTGCGTGGAGGGCGGGGGTCTCGGCCAGAGCCATCATCAGAGAGGACCTGTCAATCACGCAGCAGCTCTCAGGGCCCCCAGCTCCCTGCAGGGCCCGGCTGCCAACCACAGGCCTGACCCGGCCTGGCCCGGGGCAGCGCCGCCCAGGCGCCGGATGCTCAGCTCGTCGCCCTGGGGCTGGGGGAGCAGGGGCTGCAGGTGGGGACGGAGGGGATGGGCGCAGCCACGGGAGGGGGCTGCGGAGTGCAGAAGGGGTCAGGGGCTCTGCTCCGCAGCCCTCTCCCGCCCCCCAGCGCCATCAGTTCAGGTTACAGATGTCCCCGCATGGACATAAATAACTAACGAGAGCAAGCCCAGCGCTGCGGCCATGAAATATTCATGGCGCCTGTAACCGAGCGGGTGACTCCGAGTTCAGCGCCTGGCAGGCTGCACGGGCGGGGGGGCAGGGGCATGGGGGTCACACAGCGCTGCCCCGCCAGCCCGGAGCAGGGCCCTCCCGGCATCTCCATCCCTGCTCCCTGGGGCTTGGTCCCTCTGTGGCAGGGGTGCGAGGGGGAGACTCCAGCTCTCCGCCCACCCCTTCTGCTGCCTGCCTCTGTCCGCCCACCCAACCGTGACCCTCTGCACCCCTGTGCCAGCCCAGTCCCCCATCTCTCTGGGCTTGTGCTCGCTGCTGGTCCCAGACTCGAGCGGGCGCAGGGACCTGTGCCACTGCCCTTGGGCCCCGGGGCACTGGTCTCCTGAGGGACCCCGGGGCTCTGAGCCGGCTGTGCCGGGCAGGACTTGACGGGCACTTCCCCACGTCTCTGTGCTAGATGCGCCCTGGACACTGCTGCCCCTGGGCCAGGGGCCGTGCTGCTGCCCTGCTGCTCCTGGTCGCAGCCCTCTCCTCCCGCCCCGCGCTCGGGGAAAGGGGGCGGAAGAAGGTCGTCCACGTGCTGGGTGAGTGGGAGCCGTGTCTGGCCCAGCTCTTTCCCCTCCATGCCCCGCCAGGGTGTCCCACACCCCTGCCCCGGGGAGGGCTGCGGAGTCACCTCTGGGGGTGCCATGAAAACAGCCCAACCCAAGTTCATCCTGGCTGCCCCAAGTGGGGAAACTGAGGCATGGGGGCAGGGGGCTGACCCCCAAAGCACATGGATGGGAGGAGCTGGGGAGGGTGCCCCTAATTGGTGCAGGGCCACGCTTGCTCCCCCCTCCCTGGGCACAGCCTGCTCTGCCCCCTCCCCTGTCACCAGTGCAAGATAACCGAGCGCTCACCCCCATTAACATCAGATCGGGGGGTGCTCTGCTCGCAGAGTCTGGCCCGGTGAGAGGGGGTCAAGCACGGCCTACAGCCCTGGCCTGCTCCGCAGCGTCCGTCACAGCATTTTGCAAACCCTGTGACCTGCAGTGACCAACTGCATGGCGCAGAGTGTGGGACCCAGACTCCTGGGCCCCCTGCCCCCCCCACCACACTGACTGGGGCTGCAGGTGAGAGGCATCCCCTGGGGAAGCCCCCGACCTTGCAAAGCAGAGGGGCCAAGGCATGAGGGGGACTTGGAGGGGTCCCAGTTTGCTTCGAAGAGCAGAGCACCGGGGCCCCCGGGTCGGGTGCGGGGCAGGAGAGCTCTGGGGCACTGAGACCGGCGCCTGTGCTCCCAGAGGATGACAGCGGGGCCGTGGTGGTGCAGACAGCCCCGGGGAAGGTGGTGACGCACCGGGGTGGCACCATCATCCTGCCCTGCCGCTACCACTACGATGTGTCGGCCCACGACCCCGACGAGATCCGCCTCAAGTGGACCAAGGTGACGGAGCCCATGGCCTTCGTGGATGTCTTCGTGGCCATGGGCAAGGAGCGCCGCGCCTTCGGGGGCTACCAGGGGCGCACGGCCCTGCAGGAGGACGGCCCCGGTGACGCCTCCCTCATCATCCGCAACGTCACGCTGCAGGACTACGGGCGCTACGAGTGCGAGGTCACCAACGAGCTAGAAGACGACGCTGGCATGGTCAAGCTGGACCTGGAAGGTACTGGGGGTCCCTGGGCCTGCCCCGTGGCACGTACGGCTTCCATGCGCAGGCCCAAAGCCGGTGCCGAATGCCTCGCATGTGCCCAGACACAACAGCAGACAGATCCCGGGGGAGGATTTTTTGGTCCATGGAGAGGCAGGAAGGGCAGAGCCTGGGGCCAGAGGGTGAGAGCAGCTGCTGCAGGGTGACAGCCCCTGGCCTGGGGCTGCCTTGTCTCTGGGGCCGGGACAGTCCAAGGCCAAGGGACAGGGAGCAGTCGGGGGAGAGAAGCCCTTGCCATGCTCCTGGGAGCCCCGCGGTCCATCCCCACACTCTTGCTCAGCCCTTGGCAGGCCCAGGAGTGGGGCCCAGGGGTGGGAGGACAACAGTGCCAGGGACATGGGCGGGCGCCTCGCTGCTCACCTTGGCCTACTTCCTCAGAGAGCGCAAGCCCGGGCTGCCAGGCGGAGGAGCCCCAGCCCCATGCGGGGCAGGTTGGAGTGTGGGGCTGAGGGTGGCAAGGGGCTGAGGACCCCAAAGTTGGCAGGTCACAACCTCCACCCTGGTGTCCCAGTACTACGAGGCTTTTCCCCACACCAGATCCTGCCCTGCGCACGCTTGAGCCTTCCAGGTTTGCAAACTCTCCTGAGTCAGGCTCTCTCCCCCCTGCCTAACGCAGCAGCAAGTAGCCAGCTAAGCACGGAGAGCTGGTATCCAAGCCCCCCGTCACGGCTGGGGCAACGTGAGCAGCAATGTCTGGGCAGCACGTGCCCTCCGTTGTGGCAGGCTGCTGTTCGGGCACTTGCGGCGTGGTTTATCGAGCCTATTATTGGCTTTTACTGTTGCTCCAGGTTTATGGGCAGGCAGCTCATAAACGCCAGAAACAGATCATGGCACAGGCTCATAAAGCACCTGCCAGGGCAGGCAGTGCAGAGCAAATTGCGGCTGGTGGGAAGGGGGGAGGGATGAGGGTGTCCCATGCGCAGCCCTGGCCCCTGCCACCCCGAGCTGTCTCCCCCGATTGCAACGGGGCCGAGCTCTGGGCTTCGCCATGAAGGACCATGAGGAGACTGCTCTGACCTGGGCCCCAAAGGGAGAAGATTAGGGGAGGGGGCCAAGTCCCCCCCATGCAAATCTTCCTTCCTCACCCAGCCCGCAGCCTGCCTGCACGGCCAGCCCGCGGTGCAAGGCTGAGAGCGTGTGGACAGGTGGGCAATTGCCTGTTGGCTGGTGTTTGTGGTGGCAGGGCCATTGATGCAGTAGGGGCACAACTATTTTGCACCCCCTGGAGCAAAAGCATGTGGTGCATTTGCCCCTGGGGCGCCATAGCCTGGCATCGTGTCCCCAGGAGGGGCAAGCACTGGGCAGGTGTCCTGCACTGCGGCTGAGCAGGGGGAGCACAGTGCACCCCAGGCAGCGGGTCTGAGGGGCTGCTTTCTGCCCCCGGCACTGGGAGCTGGTGCCCCCCTGCCATGGCTGCGCTGTGTCCCCGGCAGGTGTGATTTTCCCCTACCACCCGCGCCTTGGGCGCTACTCTCTCAACTACCATGAAGCGCAGCAGGCATGCCTGGAGCAGGACGGCATCCTGGCCTCCTACGACCAGCTGCACCAGGCCTGGCTGGAGGGCCTGGACTGGTGCAACGCGGGCTGGCTGGACGACGGCTCCGTGCAGTACCCCATCTCCCGGCCCCGGGAGCAGTGCGGCCGCAAGGACACGCCCGTCGGCGTCCGCAACTACGGCTACCGGCACAAGGACGACGAGCGCTACGACGCCTTCTGCTTCACCTCCAACCTCAACGGTAAGGCCCTGCTCTTCGCTGGGCCTGTGTCTGGGCCCAGAGGGCAATGCTCCAGTAATTGGGACTGTTCTTGGGTGGCAGGCAGGGCTGGAGGGACCCCAAGGAAGAGGCTGAGTGCAGATATGGTGCTTAATTCACTGAGGTGCTGGTGGGGAAGGGTCATGGTAGGGAGGGGAAACTGAGGCACGGGGGAGTGGCACCATGCACAAACTCCTGCCAGATGCTCAGCACGGGGATGGACCCTGCAGGGAGGCAATTCCCTGCACCTGGCATTGCTGAGGGCACATGTGGGTGCCTGGCTCGCAGAGCAGGGCACAGGGAGGTTCAGGGACCTCCGTGCCTGCGGAAGTGGGTCCCGGGGGCTGGGACCAGCGCTAAACCCCGCTCAGCACCGCCTCTCCATCAGTCCCTGCCCAGGCTGGCACCTCTGCCTTCCCTCCCAACCGGCAGGACCCTCCAGGAGGGCGGCGATTGCTCCTGCTGCAAATGTCAAGACTTTTCTAAGGAGAAGCAGCCCCTGGAGCTGCAAAGAGCAAAGTGATTCCTGCTCCCAGTGTCCAAGCCCACCGCCCCCCGCCGCTCACTGCAGCAGATCCTGCTGTGGGAGAACCAGAAATCTCCCCCTCAGCTCCTGGCTTCAGCATATCCCCAGCCCCAGGCAAGAGGCTGCAAGTCAGCCCCTCGCCCCAGCCGGCCCAGAGCCAGGCCCAGCTCGGCGCTGTGAGAGAGCGGCACGCGGCAGGTAGCATGTGCACACGCACCGTGCGGGGGTCATTTGACCCCTGCAGTCTTTCCTGCCCGGAGCAGGGGGTGGATCTCACAAGGTCCCTTCCAGCCCCAAACGCGTGTGTGTGCATGTGTGCATATGCCGGTGATTTCCCCCTCCTCAGACAGCCCTGGCTGCCCTGCCCAGGCCCACATGGCCCCGTAGCATGCCAGGTGGGCACTAGCTCATCTCTCTGCGGCTTGGCTCTGCCCAGGGCTGCAGGAATTACTGAACTGGATCACGTCCCTGCCTCTGCCCATCAGGCATGTCGCGCCTGGCCTGGCCCTATGCACCCCACCGCCCTGCATCATAGCCACCTTCCCCCCAGAAATGCTTCATCCCTATTACAGAAGCCTGGAGGCCCCTGGGAATTTACCCCCTGCCTGTAGCACCTGGTGCCCAGGTGAGGCTGTGACCTCCCTGCTCATTGGCCCAGGGCCGTGGCACTCAGGAAGGGGCGGGCAGAGGATTAATTAGGTGCTGAAAGGTGGAGGAGGGTCATTAAGCGTGTCAGCGCAGCTGCTGCAGGGCAGCAGCAGTAGAAGAGCAGGTGGGGGGGGACCTGGTGCCCCAGAGCGGGGCCTGGCAGCAGTGATGGGGACCCCTGAGGTGGGGGTTACACCCCAGCCTTGCACGCACTGCTTATAGGGCGGGGGGGTCACATGAGGTCCTTCCATGCATGGGCACCCGGGGGGCCCTCCTTTGTGCTCTCGGGGTGCAGCCTGCCCCGCCCCTGCCCCATGCACAGAGGGAAGTCCCTGCCGGCTCCTCCCCAGCTGCCCCCAGGGTGGGTGAGTTGTCAGGGCAGCCCCACTGCCTCCCACTTCTCCCCTCCCACGAGCACTATCAATTATTACCGAGCAAATCCCTGTGTTACAAATGTCTCTGGAGTGAATGTGATCAGCATTGATTGTCCCTGACCACACAGGGCAGGGCAGGAAGGGCAAGGGGTTGGTGCAGAGGTGAGCTAGGCAGGGCCCTGGCTTGGGAGCTCTGGAAAGACCCCTCCTCCCAACCCACAGCCCCCTCTCTGGAGCAGGGGGAGGCCAGGAAGCTGGAGGGTCGCCCCGGGGGCGCCAGGATCCAACCTTGGAGCTGCCTGATGTCTGGGCTTCTCTCTGCACTAAACTCATCTCCCTGCCCCCATGACAAATGCTCCCTTCCAGCTCAGCCTGTCTTGCTGGGAGACCAGTTGCACCAGGTCCCAGCAGGAACTGGGCTGAGACCTGCCCAGCTTGAGTCACATGCAAGGTCCTGCCTGCCCGGCTGAAAGCAGGGGAAGGGGCAGTAGCAGGGACTGCGGTGGAGAGGCCAGGGATGATGGATGAGGCCCGAGCCCAGCAAGACAAATCGGAGCCGGGGGGGCCATCCCTGCACACAGATTACTTGGCCTGGCGGGACCGTGGGGGGGGGGGGGGGGGGGGAGGGCGGCGGGCAACCGCGGGGGCTCTGCAGATGTTTATTTAATCGTGGCAGGCAGGATAAATTGCAGGCAAAGCAGCCACAGGCCAGGCCACGGTGCCACGGCACCCATCAATCTTGCCGCAGCAAGGCATGCACTTGCGGGCCTGCCTTCGCTGCAGCGCACCCAGGCGGGCTCGGGGTCTCTGCACCCCTCCGCAGCCCCTGCACAGGCTGATGGCGAGGGGCAGAGTCTGCGCTGCTCTGGCCCACCTGCTGGGAGGCTGCACCTGTGTGGGTGATGCTGGGGTGGAGAAGGGCCCAGACGGGGCCTTGGGGACTGCGTGGAGGTGCTGCATGGGCCGTGGGGCTGCAGCCGGGTCCTCCCGGGCTGCGCAGATGGGCATGGGGTCAGCCCAGAACACACCTGCCAGCTGTGCCCGGGCTGGGCAGTCGGCGATGGCCTGCACCCTCCCGCAGAGCAACCCATGGGCACTGCTCCCTGCCTCAGCCACGCAACACCACTCCGCAGCCCTGCCCGGCTCCCGGGCTCCTTCCCACACGCTCATCACTCGCGACAGGGAGACTCGGTGTTTCTTTCCTGCTTGGATAAATAAAACAGCAGAGCCCTCCCAGCCCCCTGCATCCCTGGGGAGGGTGAGCACCGGGGCTGGGTGCGAATTGGAGGGGGGACGTGCCAGGCATCAGGTGCTGTCGTCTCCTCCCAGCACTGGGGCTGCTTGCAAATGAGCCACCCGTGCCGCTCCTTCGGCAGCTCTGGGCCCCAGGGGGGCTGGTTACGGCCCTGGCAGCATCAGGCACTTGCGCGTGCCTCCCGCACAAGGGCAGCAGGCACAAGCCCACATGGGCTCAGGCCCTGGCAGCTTGGTGCCCCCAGCCTGGCGTGAGGACCCCCAGCCCCCTTCACAGCCGCTCACTCTCACCCCTACAGGCAAAGTCTACTTCCTGAAGACCTACCGCAAGCTGAGCTACCCCGAGGCCGTGCAGGCCTGCAAGGACAACAGGGCAGTGGTGGCCAAGGTGGGGCAGCTCTACGCCGCCTGGAAGATCCAGCTGCTGGACAGGTGCGAGGCCGGCTGGGTGGAGGACGGCAGCATCCGCTACCCCATCGTCAACCCCCGGGCGCGCTGCGGGGGCCGTGAGCCTGGCGTCCGCAACCTGGGCTTCCCGGACAAGAAGTACAAGCTCTTCGGGGTCTACTGCTTCAAGAAGGCGGGCGAGGTGGCCCCCAAGCAGGTGTCCAGCAAGGGGAGGCCTCTCTGGGTGTGAGGGGCAGGGGCTGTCCCCCCAGCCCGGACAGCGCTGCTCCTGCAGCCACCAGACACGTGCTCCAGTGGGAGACGGCGACCTTAGCAACTGCCCCCTCCAGCCCCCAGCCCCCGGCAGGCAGGACCGCAGCCCTGGCCACGGAGCGGTGGGCCCCGGCTCCTGGCTGTCAGCACTGCAGGCAGGACGGGAGCCCCCTCTCCCGCTTCCCGTGGCAGGGGCAGTCCTGGGCGCAGCAGGCCAAGGAGAGCGCTGGCAGGGGGTCCTCGCCCCACACCAGGGCAGCAAGGTGCCACGCGTGGGGCGGGGGGGTCATTCTGCAACCGCTGCCCCTCACCGCCCTGCCCTGCATCGCCCATGCAGCCAGACTCCTCCCCTGGGGCTTGGAGGACCCCTCCCAGGCATCCTCTGCTTGCACAGGGGCCAGGCTGGCCCAGGCCGCTGTCCCACAGCTTCCCAAGCCCCCTCATCTACCCAGGTTGGGTTCGGCAGACCTGGCAGCGCTGCGGCGGGGCTGGCAGAGACCTTGCTGTGCTTCTCAGAGACCTGTGGGGTCAGGGCCTGGTGGGCTGGGCCATGCCCTGGTGATGACCCTCCACTGAGCGTGGCCTGGAGGCCAGACATGCCGTGCGGATGGACGAGCCAGAGGAGCACACGTGGCACAATCCCAGCTGGGACACTGCCCGTGCCCACCCCCCCCCCGTGCCTCTGCCCTGCACCATGCACTTTTCAAAGGAAGCTGAGGGGGAAACTGAGGCCCAGAGAGAGGAGGACCCTGGGTGTGCTCATGCCCAGGCCAGTGCTCTGCCAGGGGGCACAGAGCCATGGCAGAAGCTCAGCCTGCTGCCCCCTCTTCGAGGAGGATGGGCACTGCCCGCTGGTGCAGACTCAGCACGTCTGGACCCGTCTCCCCAGTGCCGCCCTACCGGAGAGCAGGACCCAGAGGATGACCGCCGGGGAGGCCCACGCGGGTGACCTGGCTGCAGCTTCCCGGGGCCGAGTTACAGCCAGGGGTCACAGAGCTTTTTCCAAGGGCTGGACATCAGGTCTGACTTCCTCATGACAGCCGGGGCACAGCACCAGCCTCCCTGCCCCGAGGGCATGGCCTGTGTGGGGCTCAGCTCTGCAGGGTCAGTCACTGCTCTGGGTCCATCCGCCTGGCTCCAGCTCTGAGACCCCTGCCATAGCCAGCACCAGGACCATGGGGCATTGTTGTGCGGGAGCCCATCCTGCCAGGGGCTGAGGGCCCAGACCTAGCATGCCAGACAGAGCGAGGCGAAGGCCCATGGTAAGAGCACCTGGTCTGGCTCTGAGTTCAGGGGGAGGTTACCCGGTGCCCGGGGTGGGGACCTGCCTTCCTGCCGCCCTGCAGATCCCCCGGGGGGGTGTGCCAGGGGTCACGAGCCCCTCAGCTCCCGCTGCCCCTCCCTGCTCCAGTGCGGCGCCCACCCTCCCCGCTGCATGCTGTGGCAGAGCCGCTGGACTCGCTGCAAAGCTGCCCAAGCATGCTTTGGGTGCTAGCTGCATGGCCTGCATGCATCGCTGCGCGAGGCCCTGCCAGACACTGCTAGGGAGGAAGGGGGGGCCAGTCGCTGGGGGCTGCCTCCAGCTCCGCTGGGGCCCCCTGCCCATGCCGGGTCGGGGGTCGGGTGGGTGGTGGCTGTGGTGCCGACACCAGCTCTAGACACAATAAAGGCCTGGCAGCTAATGGAGACCCATGGGCTCCCGCCTCTCTCTCCTCTGCAGCCTCCCCCACGCACTTCCCTCCTCACTCCCCGGTGCCTCCAGTGGGTCCCTCTCCAGGCTGGCACCCCACTGCCCGCTGGCACTTGAGGGTGGGCCCTGCACCCAGCTCAGCTCCAGGGAGGGTACGGAGCTGGGATGCAACAGCCAGGCTCAGCGCGGTGGGGACAGGCACTCAGGGAGGGTGCCCTGCCATGGGGCAGAGCCCTGGGACACTCCCCTTGCCGAGGGCAGAGCAGCAGCCACCCCAGGGGGGCAGCATCGCTGGAGGGTGGCTCATCTCTCTTGCCCAGCAGCAGCGCGGGGCCCAGCGCTTCTGTGCGTCTATGTGCGTGTGCGTGTGCATGTGTGTGTGCACGCACCGATCCACCCTCAGGGAGCTCCAGCCCCCTCCTCCCTTGCTGTAGCTGGGCCCATTTGGCCTTGACCTCCTGCTGGCGGGGGGGGGGGCACCAAAGGCCCCAGGCAGCGCCCGCGTCTGGCTTCCCCTCTGCCCTGTGATGCCTTTGGGGGACAGGGCTGCCAGTCCTGCTGCCCCATGTCCTGGGCAAGGCGGTGGCTGCTCCCCAGACACCATCCTGCTGCTGTCCTTGCCCCGCACCCAGACCTGGCCCCTGCCCAGAGCGGAGCGGGTGGCACATGCACGTGGCAAACACCCCACGGCCAGCCCGGCTCAGCCCATCTGCCCCCAGCGCCAGCCGCAGGCAGATCCCCCCGGGCAGGGGTGTCTGCCCTGGTTCTCGTGCCCGCCAGTCCCTGCCCCAGATAGAGGCGAAGGTGCGGGCTACAAATGCATGAGGCGCTGGGGGGACTGGGCCGCCGGACCCATGCGTGTGCAGGGGCCACGCTCTGGGCACCCCAGCGCCCCTTCCTGCAACGGGCACCGCTCGCAGGCCCAGACGCCCCCCGCCTGACCCCTCCTGTCCAGTGCCCCCTTCCCCCCGCCCCGCAAGGACGGGCAGGCCCAGCCGGGGCTTATTAACTGTTAAAAAAATTTATTAAAATGTCCAGCGGTCCAGAAACGCGGCGGGCCGGGGCCAGGGGGACACGGAGGGCACCGCGGCCGCACACACCTACCCGGACCGATGACACATG